GGAATTAATTTCGCTAGAAGTATAAATAATAGTATATTATTTTATTTATCTAGATTAAAGAAAGTCTAATAGATATATAGTTTATATTTAGTCCGAAGTCGACGACCCCGAATCTATACTAGATCCCTTTAATAGCTCTTTACTATTATATCTAAACTTAGCCTTCGAGATAAAGGTTATAATAATAATATTAATATAATATATTAAATATAACTCTAATATCGTATAATATAGATAGCGCGACTATATAGCCCTAGTAATAACTAAGCTCGAGAGGATATAGGAGCACGCCTAAGAGTTCTCTAGATATAATTATAAGTAGGTAATTTACGCTATTCGAAGAGATACTACCCTAACTACTAGTAGGGTAATATAGATAAGATATAACGAAACTATCTTCTAGCTAATTATTCTTAAATACGCCGCGCTAATCGACCTAGTAACGCTACTACCCGTTAAGGGCCTAGCTAATAGATTTACTATAGCGGAAAAAGCTACTATAAAGAAATTTATAGAAGATACTAGGTATAGCTTAGGTATAGAAAACTAGCGATAATACCGTATTTTCTAAAAGAATATATTCTATATATATAAGGCTAGTATTAAGAAAATTCTCTTCTACTATATAAAAGAATTCGATAGTTTCTATAGAGGTTATTCTAAAATATCGGAAACTCTACTTATAGATAAAGTTTTAAGATAGGAAAATAAGTATCGCCCTTATTTCGAATAACTAGAAACGCGGATTACTAAATTAAAGATAGGAGACTCGAAGTGTTTTAGCTACCTTACTAATCCTTAAGTACTAGAATAGTTAAAAGTGCTAGAGCTCTTTTAGGATAATACTTCGAACGAGTAGGCTATTAATACCGAAGAAAAAAACTTTAGGTAATATAGCTTAGTATCTATCTCGACTAATATTCTAGATATACTATATAATAATAAATCGGTATATAAAGATAGGATAGATAAGTCTATATTTATCACTCTTCTACCTAAAGACGACGAGTCTCTATTCGTCTCTTCTATTATACCTATCTATAAGGGAGACTTCTTAGGTATATTTACTAGTACTATCCGTTTCTTAGAGGATTTTAATATTACCTATAGTATCTTAGGTCCCGCTAAGAGTCTATAGCTAGACTATTCTTAGATAACTAGGGCGCTAAATTAAATATAGGTATCTAAACCTAGCGGTTATATAAATATATACTTTCGTTAGGCTATATTTTATAACGATACTATAATAGAGCCGCGCGTTTTATAGCGCGTCTCCGTTAAAGCTACTAAGTATATTATACTATTTTATCCTATCGTCCGTATAGCTACTTAATAAGAGTAATACTATTTATATCTATTATCTAGAAATACTAAAAGAGGCTTTCTTAAATCTACTATTAACTAGTAGTCTACTATTAGGGCTCCCTTTACTTTTTTAAAGAATCTTAGGTACGTTCTATTCTAGATAAATAAATATAAGTAAAGAAGACTAGCTAGTAATAAATTTATAGAATTACTTCTTATCTTTATCCTATATTTCTAATTTACTTTATAAGAATATATATATTTACTTTAATCTTAGCTATATTAAAAATTAGTAAGTTTTAAATTTATAATAATATAATATTAGCCCTATTATAATTATTTATAAGGCTAAATTATAGTAGTAATAATATTAGAGTGCTTTAAATTTATAAAGATATAATATTAGATCTAGTATAATTATTTATAAGGCTAAAATTAATCTAAGTAAAAATTATAGAGGTAATAATATTAAAGTCGTTCGGCGTTAGCCGGAGATAAGGAGGTCTAAGAAGGGTTCTCTAGGACTCCTTTCTCTACCTTAGAGTAGGAAGACCGAGTAGTCTAGCGCTTTAAGGAGTAGTTAAGCTAGCTAATAATATC